AAATATATAAATATTATTTTTGATATACATACATATATACATATATCTACATATTCACAAATTTACATATCTATACTATAAATGAGCTATAAAGTAAGTATTTACCTACATAGTCATTTATTCCATGCGTAAATCCATAAATGAGCTATCAAGCAACAACAAGCAAAAATAATAACACATAACTCTAACCGAGTTTAAATTTAACATATTTTTGTATCAATGTTAAAACCAGTTTAACATTTCCATAAGACTTATATCATTTAACTTTAATTGAGTTAAGGACTACCAATAAAAAATATTTTCCTTTTTCTGTTTGGTTTCCAACAACTAAAATAATACGAGAAGATCTTTTTTTTAAATTGTTGTTTATCATCATCTAGCAGCAATTTGATAACTCTGAAAAGTAGGCAACACTTTTTTCTCTTATACACTAATACTCATACGCTGATCTTCTAAGCTTCCCCACTGCTTGGCAATGCACTGCTTTGCCGTCGCTCAAAAGTATGCAATGCTTTATTCCAGCTGCCCGATACAGAATTGCTTGGAACAAGGGGATTTTGAAGCACTGGGCAGAGGAGAGGAAAAATTTTACATTTTTAATTGCTTGTTGCGTTTGTTATTGTTTGTCAACGTTGTTTTTGTTGCCTTTATTGTTGTTGCGACTGTCTTTGTTGCTGCTGTTGTTGTTGTTGCTAATCTAATTTACTGCCTGCAACTTTTGTCTGTTCTGTGTGTTCCCGTTGGCCTCGCATTATGATGAGGCATTTTAATTAACTTTTGTTTTAGTAAGTGGAAAGCAACTTGAGCAGAGCTTTTTTTTATATTTTTGTTCTTGCTGCTGTTGCTGCTGCTGCTGCTGCCTTTTTGCCTGCCACGCCCAGCATTTATTGTTGAATGGGTCTAGCAGAGAATAAAAGAAAAATTATATGCATATACTTATTTATGAACTTGTGCCTTGTGCCAGCAAAATTAACATTGACAACAACAACAACAACAACATTAGCTGGCTAAACAAAAAGAAGTCCCTTTGTTGTTGGTCGCGCAATTAAATTGCCTTTGCTTGTGTGTGTGTGTGTGTTTATGAGTATTCATACCCGTTCAGAAGGTAAAAAAAGTATATTCGATTTGTTCTATGACCTCTTAATTCTTAAACAGATGAAGCCTTATATGGAACATCTTCTAAACACTTAATTGAAATACAGAATTTAAAGTAAATATCTATATAGTAGACTACTATAATTTGAGGTGGAGCATCTGGAATATTTTATTTCATTAAAGGTCTTGTGCAAAGTTCGCTGCAAACTTTGCTTTGCGTAAATTGTTCGTTTGTTTCTCAACTTAATTTTTTGGCTTCTTTGTGGGAAATCAAGTTCTGTTTACAACGTCCACGTTTTGTGCATATTAAAGTATAGAGCACTGCAAATGGCAGCTGCGGCAATAAATATTTAAATTTCATAAAAGAAGAACTTGTAAGCAATCGTTAGCTTGCAAAAAGATTATTTGCTATTCACTATAATAAATCCATAAAAATATAGTTAATTAAATTCAAAGAAATGTAATATATAGTCCATTGAATTCTTTCATAGAACTACGTAACAATTAGGGAAAACAAAATTTATATTAAATAAAATTAAAATAAAATACATATATTTTAATTTTTTATTTATTTTTCTTTTTCCATATTTTCATTTTCTCTATTTCATGCCACATCTTATTTATCGCTCAGCTCAAAACTCACATTTACTGTACACTGCACCGAGCGCGTATTACACAGTCTGTTACACCCCATAGCCACATGCGGACTGGTTTTTTGTTGTTTTGGTTTTTTGACTCCCTCGATGCTCTCGCTTTTGTTTGAGTTTGCGCTTATTTGACATTTTTACTTTATTTTCTTATTCATATTCATACGTACTTTCATACATACATATATGTATATATATATATGTACATAAATACTTACTTTTTTTTTGTTTTAATTCAACTTTGTTTGCACATAATTTTTCGGAAACATGCGTCAGAAGGCAAACAAATGCATGAATAAATACGCAGCAAGCGAATGACAATGAATGAATGACTGAATGAGTGAATGTTGAATGCGTTGTTTGGCAAATGCAAAAGTCAAATACAAGTACACAAGCCAAACACAAAGCGGACTAGCCGACAAACGGACGTACAAATGGTCATGACATTCCGTTTCCTCCTCCTCCTCCTCCTACTCCATCTCCAGCTCCAACTTCAGCTCCATCTTCATCTCCATTGCTGTTTCCATTCGATTTGATTTGATTTGATTGTTTGACTTGTGCCGCTGACTATTGAAGTTAAATCATTAATTATTTTCATTCTCACTTGATTAGCTGCAAAACAAAAGACATCCAAGACGACAATAGGTTTTTATTACTACAGAATCTAAAATAGTTCAGATGGGCATTTATTTGAAAATATTCATTGAATATGAATAATTGGTTTCATCAGAAAATTTAAGTAAATATACATTGATAGATATTTATTGTAGAGTTAAGTTTTAATTCATTATTTTAGTATCAAGAAAATGATAAAATATATATAGTAAATATTATTATTATTGTTGTTATTATTAGTCAAAGAATCAGCAATATCATTAAGCACTTTATTCCTAATCTATAACTCTTTTATGGCGTTCACTTGTCAAGCACTCACAACTTCTCTCCTGAGGTTAAATTTCAGATTGATTTTCCCATTCCGCTGTGCCATTAATCGTGCCTATACCAACACACTTGAGTCAAACTCAATTACATTTCTCTCACCTTAACTTATTATCACGCCCAGGCTCAGGCTGTGCTGCCCAGAGAATTTCAAGAAGTTCATGGAAATGGAAAGGCACGCAGCAATGGAACATAATTCCACTGAATAAAGACCGCTATCCATTGGTATTACGGTTAAAGTTTAGGGCTTCCTATAG